ATAAAGTTGGTCCATGATATGTTCTTCCTAGGATAACCCTTTGCAAAGAAAGGTTACGAAGTGTATAATCTTCATTACAAAGTCTATTTTATAGAGATGTTCGTTTCCATGAAATCATCTTTCCTTTTTTCTATTCAATAACCCCCTCCCTCCACTGATTTTCCTCCCATTTATTTCTCTGCAGACTTCCCTTCCATCTGCCTCCCTATTCCACCAACTTCTCCTTCCCTCCCTCTATTGCAACCTTACCTTAGTTCCTCATATCCTGCCCGAACACGTGGTTCTTAACAGACCTCGCGTCACACCACACTATCTTATCCTAAAGTCTTATTAATATGCTCCTTGTTTAGTGTTCCTCTTACCCTTGCTCCTTATATATTTCCTTGCAGGCCTCCATAACTGAAGAACCTATGTTTGAGCCCTACACTTCTAGTCATGCAACCTCAATCACTGCTTTGCAATAGGCTATGAGCTCATTTTTTCTTCTTTGTTAGCCAATTTTACTTGGGAGATTGTTGAGCTTCCTCCTCGTAAAAATCCCATTGGTTGCAAATGGGTTTACAAGATCATATATAAGGTCGATTGTGTTGTTGAACAATTCAAAACTCAACTAGTTGTGCGGGGACACCCAAGTTGAAGGTGTTAATTTCTATGAAACTTTTTCTCCGGTAGTAAAAATGACCACTATAAAATCCATGGTTTTGTCGCTATCAGAAAATAGTTTGTTCCAGTTAGATGCTAACAATAATTTGAATGGTTAGCTTGATGAGGAGTTCTATGTGAAGCTTCCTCTTAGCTACTTTTTTCTGTCTCTACTACTTATCCTCCTCTCGTCTGCAAGATCCAAAAGTCTTTATATGGGTTTCGCCAAGCCACTCGAGAATGGTATTCAAAGCTACCCCAAGCACTTTCTTGTAGGGGTTACACTCATTCCTTGAATAACTACTCCTTCTTTACTAGAGTTTCTGGTGGGTTCATTGTTGTGGCAGTTGTATATAAAATATGACATAATTCTCACGGGCACTGACGTTGCCGAGATTTCTTCCTTGAAATAGGATCTGGAGTGTCAATTCAAGATAAAGCATCTGGGTGCTCTCAATTATTTTATGGACATTGAGGTCTATTTATATTGCTTTACCAAAGGAAGTTCATTCAGGATCTCGTTCACACTTTTAATTTTTCTTATGTCTCCCCTATAGCTTACCCTCACAAAATTAATGTCAAACTGTAGCTCCATAAAGGTGATATTTTGACCACGCCCGAGGAGTATGGCTCCCTAATTGTGAAGCTCAATTTTATTACAGACTTGGACCGACATCTTCTTCTGTTTAATACCTCAATACATTCATACGGTCCCTTTATGTTCGCATTTGACTATCGCATTGCATTTGTTATGTTATGTAAGAGGGACCCCTGATCATGGTATTTGTTTCAACTGCAACACTATTTCTTCTATCTCTGTCTTTTGACAATGATTGGGCTGCTTAATCTACATCATGTTGTTCTTTTTCTGGTTTTTATATGTTGTTGGGTTGGTGCCTCATTTCTTGGAAGTTTAAGAAACATCCCATCATGTCCTTTTCTTTTGCTAAGGCTGAATGTCGCTCTCATAGCAAAGCTTTTGTTGCGCTTACTTGGTTATCTCGCCTTTTGGATGATTTTGGCATCACATGATCTTCTATCCCGCTACATTGTGACAATCAGGCTGCTATTTACATTGCCCAGAATCCTGTTTTCTATGGGTGTAGCAAGTACATTGAGGTGGTCTGTCATTTTTTTCACGCCAAGATGACTAATGGTCTAATATGTCTCCTTCATAGTCCTACTACTTCTGAGTTGGTGGACATTTTCACCATGGTCTTACATGGTCCTGCTCATCATGTTTTTCTTGGGTACTATCACATCCTATCTCAAAGGTTTTCCAAATTACATTAATTCTGAATTTTATATTACTCACGGATACATTATTTTTTCGCTTAATATATCGCAAACAATAGATGCATGAGTTTTGTATCATATTCGTAGTTATCTATCAAATACATAACTATAAACCAAATTCATACGTTTGAAATAATTGAGGTTACGTGTCAGTAATAACATTTGTACCTAATGCATTGTACGCAAAAAAATGTAATGTATCTTATAGAAGTAGAGTGATGTATCTTAATGGTAAGGGAGAAAAGGAAAAAATGATTTTTGTAAGTAATTCAATTGGTAGAAATTATTAGAGATTATGTTATCTTAAGTCGTATAATTACGTAATTTACACATTTAAAAGTCTCTTCAAATATGGTCAAAATGGGTTCAATATGGGTATCCATTTGATCCATATAAGATCACTTATTTTCTCTTTCACTCAATAAAAAAATATTTAGAGGTAGGTTGGTGGAAGTTGGGGGTGGAGTGGGGATGGGGGCGGAGAATGCCCGGGAGGGAGAGGGTAAACTTTTTTTTGTGCAAAAGCTAATTTTTCTTTTTTTAAAAAATAGGGTATGTTGGTGGAAGGTGGGGAGGAGGCAGAGGGTTGCCAGGAGGCGGGGTAATTTTTAATTATTTTTTTTTTGAAAAACAGATGTTTTTTTATTTTTGAAAAATAATTTTTTTAGGGGTAGGTTGGTGAAAGGTGCAAGGGGGGGTGAGGTAATGTGGAAAGGGATACATTTATGTTTTTTTTTAAAAAAACAGATTTGGTTAAATTGGTTAGAACCATTTTGACCAAACCATATTTGACCATATTATATTTGAATGGATTAAGATCCAAACCATATTTTCTGAAAACATATTCAACCCATGCAAAACCAATCCACTTCGACCGTTTGCCACCCTTAATGCGCATAATTACTTATGTGGGGCAAGCCTAATACAAATAAATTAAGAGAAAATTATGCAGTTAAACAAAGTTATACTACTTAATTACTCATCACACATATAGTTTTTTATAATTATCAGTCGTGACTAACTTTATACATTATTTACATGGGTTGACCATGTTTGTATATGTATAATTCGCCAGAATATACAATTACATATGTATAACATACAATTATATAACCGATATACATACACAATTCACCTCTCTGCCCTCTACCGATCTCCTCTCCTCCCTCTCCCATTCTCTCTCGCCTCTCTCCTCTCTCTCCCAATCTCGCTGCCATATATACAAATACATATGTATAATGTACAATTATTTAACCAATATACATATACAATTTATCTCTCTCCCAATCCGTGCCCTCTCTCGCTCACCTCTCTCCTCTCTCTCTCCCCCAATCTAGCTCACTCTCTCCTTCCTCTACCAATCTCACTCGCCTCTCTCCTCCCTCTCCCAATCTCAGTTACCTCTCTCCTCCCTCTCAAATCTCGCTTGCTATATATACAAATATATTTGTATAATATACCGTTATCAAACCGATATACATATACAATTCATCTCTCTCCAACTATTTTCCCTCTCTCGCTTGCCTCTCTCCTCCCTGTAACATGTAGCTATAAATTGTAATTATCAAACTATAACTATGGAAGAGTAATTAGGCTATTTGTAAATTATAAATCACATAGCTTTAATACGAAATTACAATCTATCCCTAATAAGCTAATTACATTAATCTCTTAAATATTAAAAAAAATTGGATATAATAATTGAAGATCGAATACATTAAATATTGTCTCGGATACGTTAACATGTACCTCAGATACATTAAAAACTAGCTCAGATACATAATATATAGCTCAAATACTGGGTCGGATACATTAATATGCACATTAAGAAATAAGAAATTTTGGAGATATTTAAAAGTAATAGGGGATAATGGAAATAAGTTAAACAAAAGATGTTTATTTCTGTAAATCGTTCATTTAAAATAGCTTGAAGTCATATTTGACCAATTATAATATATGGTCAAAATGAGCTCATTTTATTAATATGGACTGAAATTGTCACCCTTATGGCCCATTTATGTCTATTACATTGTAATAGAGTAGAGAAAAGAAAATCTGAACAAATGTGGGTGCAACGGCTTTTACAATCTGAATTAGTTTAGGTTTAACATCCGTTCATGAAGCTTTTAGGGAAATATGGTAAGAAAACATGGTAATGCACCAATTATACCTAGTGTGGATTTGCAGTTAAAGAAAAATGTTTGATCGCATTTACGGGTAGAGTTGGGGATACTTTGAGTGAATTTAAACTTATAACTTGGAAGTAAAGAGTTACATTCATGTTCTAAATTCCCTAATAGTAGTTAATAGTATATTCAAAGCCTATAATATGCATCTTTTATTCTTTCGACTCAACTGCTTGCTGAAACAGCACAACTGCAAGAGTAACAAGGGAAGCATAAACAGAACTGGGCATCTTTTGAACCACCATTCCAACATGTGGAACTCCCTCTGTTGACCTCTTTGTTAGCACAGCGATAGTTGGTGCTACTGCCAACGTAATAAGTTGTCCTTGACTCACCATAATAAAAGTATCCTTTGTTAATTTCCTAATGAATTTCACAAATTCTTGACGATCTAGTTCTCCATCAGTATTGATATCACACTCCTGTACATGAAAACAAAATATTCAATAGGAGAAAATAATTTCAATTGATTAGATTCCCAAAGAAACATAAGAAGATAATTTTTCATATAACTACAATACCACTTCAAGTTCTCTCTGTATATATCGCAGAATCAAGATGAAATCTTTTGACAAACCAAACAAGAATCAGGAAACAAAATAAAGTTCCCCAAAAGGATACACATGAGCAAGCAGACCATGTTCACTTGATAATAAAAATGATGCTCCCTTGTTTGACATGGAGTTTAAGAAGTAAATTGAATGACTCACATTACCATAAGACAGCCTACTTTAAATGAAAACAGAGTGATTAGAATTAATGGTTTAGGCACAGCCACAGTGATTCAATCATTAATGCAATGAATGAAAATTAAAACATGAGGTAACTGAACAATGCACAAAGATTAATAGTGTAGCAGCGAATCAACTAATAGAAACATACCTGCATCAGGACTCTAACTTGATGTTTTGTAGGAGGATCAAAATGAGGACCCGGCAAACGTTTATTGATATCACTGGAAAGTGATTAGACGTTAGCACCATCTAAGTATACATACATACATACATACATATATATGCATATATATATATATATATATACGCGCGCGCACACACACACACTATATATATATATATATGCGCGCGCGCACACACACACACTATATATATACGACATCTGCAGCCACTCAAAGTTGTCCGCATAATTCATTTATACACCTCAACTAATCCTTGTGCCAATTGAACACTTTATTTGTTCAAAAGTCATTCCTATTAAACACAAAATGCTGACATGGCAAAAAACGTGTAATTCACTTTCTTTGAGAGCGTTAATTTATTAAAAATAATATTTTTCCTTTTTTTCTCTTAATTTATCCCCTAAGTTAATTTTTTAAAAAAATTATTAACAAAAAAGAAAAAGGATAGTTGTCTTCTTCCCTCTTTCTATCATATTATTCTTTCACCATTTTTATCTCTTTTTTTTACACACCACACCACACTCCCTCCACCTCTCTTTCTCTCACCCTCATTGTTCTTTCCTGCTTTCTTCTTTTTTCTTATATCGATTTTCATCTCAAATATCTCGAAAAAGTTTCATTTACAATGATAAAAAAAAATATGAATAGATTTATTTGGGCAAAAGTCTGTTATTTTTTTTAATTCTAATAAATAATTTCTAATGTATAAAAGATGAAGACAATGAGTGAAAATTTTAATGCAATCGAAATGAAAGAGAATGCATATTTAGCTTGAATAGACAACAATGGTGTGTCATTGTAGCTTCATTGAAGAGAAGAAAGAGATGGAGCGACACTAACTCCATTGAAAATCAGAAATGGGTTTCAGAAGGAGGAGGAAGAAAGTGGGGAGGGTGGAGGCTTTAATTAAAAATAATTTTTTTTTAATTTTTAAAAATACTTTATGAGTCAATTAGCCACTTAAAGTTGTCCTCATATTTCACTTTAACACCTCAATTAAGGAATGTACCTATTGAACACTTAAACCTTAAAAAATTTGTACCTATTTGACACAAACTAACAATCAATTGAAAAATAAAAACGCGTGTATTTCAAACGCGAATTCATATTGATTTTACCAATAATATGATGACACGTGACATTACATTTAATTTTTTAAAACCTCTATATAATTAATTCATAAAGTATTTTAAAAAATTAAAAAAAATTATTTTTAATTAAAGCCTCCACCCTCCCCACTTTCTTCCTCCTCCTTCAGAAATCCATTTCTGATTTTCCATGGAGTTGGTGTCGCTCCATCTCTTTCTTCTCTTCAATGGAGCTACAATGACACACCATTGTTGTCTATTCAAGTTAAATATGCATTCTCTTTCATTTCGATAGTATTATAATTTTCACTCGTTGTCTTCATCTTTTATACATTAGAAATTATTTATTAAAATTGAAAAAATATAACAGACTTTTGCCCAAAAAAATCTATTCATATTTTCTTTTATCATTGTAAATGAAACTTTTTCGAGATATTTGAGATGAAAATCGATATAAGAAAAAAAAAAGGAAAGCAGGAAAGAACAATGAGGGTGAGAGAAAGAGAGGTGGAGGGAGTGTGGTGTGCTATGTAAAAAAAAAGAGATAAAAATGGTGAAAGAATAATATGATAGAAAGAGCGAAGAAGACAACTATCCTTCTTCTTTTTTGTTAATTAATTTTTTTAAAAATTAACTTAGGGGATAAATTAAGAAAAAAAAAGAAAAAAATTATTTTTAATAAATTAACGTGCTCAAATAAAGTGAATTACACGTTTTTTGCCATGTCAGTATTTTGTGTCTAATAGGAATGACTTTTGAACAAATAAAGTGTTCAATTGACACAAGGATTAGTTGAGTTGTCTAAATGAATTATGCGGACAACTTTGAGTGGCTGCAGATGGCTTAAACCTATACATACATACATACATATATATATATATATATATATATATGTATATATATACATATGTGTGTGTATATATATATATACACACACACACACACATATATATACATATATATACATATATACACACACATCTATACATACATATATACATACATACATACATACATATATATATATATATATATATATATATATATATATATATATATATATATATATCACATTCTTACTTGAAAACAAGTAGTACAGCAATATAAAGGTCTTCAAACTTGAGATTTTCTCTTCCTGAATCAATTCTGACACGATCAAAGACATTGTCTGTTATTTTGTGTATTTGTGTCTCTCTCCACTGCTTACCTGCATCAGGTGAATGTGGTGTTTTTCTATTTCAGTAACAGTGGCTGACTGTTGAGATGTGTGTATATATATATATATTCTTCACTGTTAACTTCAAATTTTCTGGTGTAAGTAAGGCTTAGAACAAGAAATAACTATTTGAGAATGCCAAGTATGATAGTTAGATAGTTATCGGAGAAAATGGTGCAAGTAGGAATCAGCCTCACATATATGTTAATGTTTAGGTGCCCAAAAGAAATGTCTCCAATTGATCCATTGAATGAAATCAAATGCATGAATATAAGTAATAAAACAAAAAGGAGGGCAACATGATCACATTAATTGATATATGTGGGAGTGGTAGTTTAAAAATATCCAGATTAATACAGTAAAGTTGTGTGATGCTTGATGACAGGATTCCTAATCTACTCTGACAATAAAAATAACTTATAAGAAGAGTTAGAGTCAGAAATCCACATCACAACTGCTATTGTAATTATGATGTCAGGGGTTGAAATTGAAGATATTAAAATGGGTTAAAATAGAAATCGGATAACTTTTTAGCTAAAAAAAACAATTCAAATTTAAAATAAGGGTGTCCCGAACATAGATATTAAGTATTGAAATTACTTTACACACTCTGTGTTATGTAATATTATTGAAAATAAAACGTAAAAATTCCTGAATTAGCTATTCTGATGCAAATCTCTGCTGAAACTAGAGTACTCCTCCCTCCTCTACAAAATAATACATTTCGAATTAATTATTATAACTACATTTTTTGAATTCCTAAATCCAACCCTAAAACATCAATTATTTACACAAGAAAACTCAAATCAAGAAATGGATCGAACAACGCATGGGAGGTTACCTTTGAATTTTTACAGAATCTGGCCCATCCTTCCAATTGCGGAGACTATTGCTCAACAAAATACTTATAACTCATCCACCCAACTCCACAAACACGTTTCCTTTTTGTAATACTCTTGAAATTGTTTTTATGAAAACATAAAGTTATTGGCTATAAATTTCCAAATACTATCACAAATTTATTATTTTTTATAATGAAATACTCAGAATGCATTATTTTCACATCATAACACAATATTTTTTTGAAAATTATTGTTATTATCAGGGAGCGGCTCAACGCAACTGGAGGTCTAAAGCCAACTAGAGGCCTAAATCTAAAAAAACTTCATATGCATTAATTTTTTTTTTAAAAACAAAAACTAGCATTTTTAAATGAAAATTATACTTATTATTTTTTAAAAAATGATTTATTCAATTTCTTTTTCAATTATTACCTATAGATAAGATTTTATCAATTCAATATTGAAAAACATTTCCTTATTCGAGCAATTATTATATGAATTGTTAATATAAAATTTGATTCAAGAAGTTGATAATTTTGTATACCCCACATTTTACTATGCTTGTTGTAATGCTTGAAAATCTAAAAAATAATATTCATTACAAAAATATAATAATACTAATAATAATAAAAATAATAACAACAACAGCGCATACCCACATGGTTCGATAAGGGTGCACGTGCAACCGTTAACTTCAAAAGGAAATCATATATATATATATATATATATATATATATATATATATATATATATTAAGAAACTACCAAAAAGTAAAATATATGTAATAGTGCATCCTTAAATAAGATCTAGCCTTGGTTTTAAGCTTGTGATATCATTTACAAGGCTTAGGTTCAAACCTAGCTATTACCTCTTTCATTTTTTTAATTTTAAATTTAGCTTAGAGCTTATATGATGCATCAAAAGTCTTCAAAAGAGGGGTTCACTTCTGAACAATGATGGTAGTAACTAGTTAGTTTGTGATATAATTTTCTCACATTTTATAAACAATTTCTCATGAAAAATTTGCATTTTTAAGCCAGATGACCAAAGATAAAGTGACAAATAGATGATTTTTTTTATGTATAAAAGTTTGCAATGAATTTTAAAATATACTCAACTATTTGAATTGATTTGATACTATCCTTCATCCACCTCCTAGCCTCCTAATACTATTGACGTCAACCTTTTGGCTAAAAGATATATGATATCAACCATTTGACTCATATTTTACCTTATTTTTAATAACCATTTAAAGTAAAATCATTAAATATTTATTTATTAGGTTGCCTAATCTTATTGGTTTCAATTTATATCTTTCTCAAATAAATAATAAAAAAATCACGTATAATACATATTTTTGATCCGATATGCTTGAAAATAATTTTTAAGAAATTATTAATTTCTTGATATCTTCTATTAGCTTGTTATATAAATTAATAACCAATTTATTATAACTCAATTTATAATTGAGGACTCACCAAAATTTCGCGTCTGAATTAAAATAAGATTATTATTTTTCACCAAAATAAAAATTTCTATTAGTTATCCGATTTTGTTGTTCATTTTCTCTTTTTATTAATTTGTTAACCTTCTATTATTAATTAAGATATAGAGACTTAAACTTTGAAATGAATTAAAATGTTCATATTCTTTTAATTTATACTGTTATTATGGTGGGGTAGGGTGGGAATAGGTAAGAAGATTATTTTTATCCATTTATTTTGAATTCATGGTACATACAAAATAAAAAATGTTATTGAATTATTTTCTACTAAACTAATTATTTTTTATTTGTATGTCCTCGTTATTTTCCTACTTTTTTTCTCTTTTATTTTTTGTTGTAAAATTTACAAAAAATACCTTCATTGCGAACACGATAGTTTTTACTTCACCATGAATTCTTGTAGAAAATTCTCATGGCTTGAGGTATGTCGAAAGACATTGTCCTTAAGTATATTTCACCCGGTATGAGTGTATCCCTCATGATTCAGCAAGCTCTTCTAATATAAAACTAGGAGCTAGAAACTAACAAAGATTCAATTAAAAGAAAACCTAGCATAAGAATATATCAAAAGAAGAATTGTTTTGTTGTCTTCCCTCTTACTCACCATTAATAAAATTAGAGTTATATAGAAAATTAGTAACCTCTCAAATATGTGAATGGTTAAAATAATCAAAAATCATAAAAGACATTAAACACAATTAATGAATTGAAGGGCAATTCATTTCAGCAAACGAAACGTTTTGTAACAGCCATATTATGACAGAAAATAATGGCTAATTAATGGATGATAATAATGACAATAGAATATTATTTATGGAAAGAAATATTTAGGACATAAATAATAATCTCTTTCAAATATAATAGAATATAAAATAATTCATTTGAGATCAATAATATTTTTCCGACAATCCTCTACATATCTCAAAATGTTTATTAAGGAATATGATTAAATAAGAAGTTTTGCTGGGTTTTCACATGTGAGTCTAATGTATTGAATCTAATTTTCGTAGACTATGAACCGGACTTATATAAAACAAGATTTATACTTACAGAATAACTTGGTATATTTTAGAACTTCCATGAACCAATAATTTTTTTGTTAGTCCAGCGTTTTATTCTATCACATTGTACTCTCACAATCTTTGTTGGCACTGCGGTTTTGCGCTAAACAGTCATGCTCATGTCCTAGTATTCATGAGTGCTCTATAAATCTTTCACAATTTCATAGAAGCGGCATCACTTCACACTCATATAGGTCCAAACATCAAGCATATTTAGCAGAGCAATACACCACCTATAAAGGATTTGACTTGGATTAAGAGCCCTAATTCTGTCTCACTTGCTTTTAGATTATCACACTATATTCACACATCATAGGAGGGACATAACTTTATAATGTTTACTTGATCAACTAATGACTTGTTATTACTCATATGAACCAAATTTATGAGATCTCCAATCACATAGGTTGGGTTCCCATCATTATTGATCTTCTCATATGACTAAAGGTCTTACTCCCTGTCACAACCCAAAATGAGCCGCGAGTGGCACCCACACTTATCCTACTATGTGGGCGAACCAACCAATCTAAACCCCAACATTTCAAACATAATAAACAGAAAACAATGCGGAAGACTTAAAACTCATTAATATAACTAATAAATAACTTTTAAAGTTTATCAATTACTATCATTATCCCCAAAATCTGGAAGTCATCATCACAAGAACATCTATCCTCAGATTACTAAGTCTAAGAGTATCTAAGAAGCTAAAGTAACTAAACAGATAGTCCATGCCAGAACTTCAAGGCATCAAGACGTGAAGAAGAAGATCCAGTCCAAGCTAGAAACAATAGCTCACCCTGAAATATGACGTGATGAAGACTGGCTAGAGTTGCGGTTGAGTTGAAGACGACGGTACGTTTGCTGCACTCCATAATGAATCAAAAAGAAAACATACAAGTAGGGATCAGTACAAAACACGCGTACTGAGTAGATATCATCGGCCAACTCAAAATAGAAAGCAATATATATCAGATAATATCATAAAATCAACTACAATACTCAACAGGTAGCATCAACAAGTACAAGAATCATTGATAATAAAGCCAAGTACACCCATGAGGACACAAGCCTCCATACAATACTCATTTGGGAAATAGGTTCATTAAATTGAGTATATTAACATTGTTCTTAACAGTTACCTTATTCAGTTGTCTATAGTCAATGCACATCCGAAAACTTCCATCCTTCTTCTTCACAAACAAAACCGGAGATCCCCAAGGAGATACACTTAGTCTAATGAAGTCTTTGCTTAACAACTCTTGAAGTTGGGCCTTTAACTCTCTTAACTCAGCGGGAGCCATCCTATAAGGGGGTATGGAAATGGGGCGAGTACCCGACTCCAGATCAATGCAAAAGTCAATATCCCTATCCGGTGGCATACCAGGAAGGTCTGCAGGAAACACATCCATAAACTCACGAACTATCGAAACCGACTCAATTGAAGGTACTTGGGTAGTATCATCCTTGAGGTGTGCCAAGAAAGCTAAACAACCCTTACTAACCATTCTCTTAGCACGAAGAAACGAGATAATACGAGCTGGAGTGGAAGTGTAGTCACCCTCCCACACTAACGGATCCGTCCCAGGCTTGGCCAATGTCATAGTTTTGGCATTACAATCTAAGATTGCAAAGTTTGGAGAGAGCCAAGTCATACCCAGAATTACATCAAAATCAACCATTTCTAAGATAACCAAGTCTACCTGAGTATTGCTCCCCATAAAATTCACAAGACAAGACCTATACACCTTTTCAACTATCACAGACTAACCCACCGGAGTAGAAACACGAATAGGCATGTCAAGCAATTCACAATGTAAGTTAAGAATAGTAGCAAATGAGGAAGATACATATGAAAATGTGGATCCAGGATCAAATAATACAGAAGCCATGCAATCACAAACCAAAAGATTACCTGTGATGAGGAGCATCAGATGTCTCCGCTTCAGATCTCCCAGGGAAAGCATAACAATGGGACCTATCACCTATCTGTCCGTTGCCCCTACCATGTTGCACTGCAGAAGTTCCAGTTTGCCCGTCACCCTGTCCATTTTGATAACCACCATTACCTCGACCACCACGTCCTCCCGAATAACGACCTCTTCCATGACCACCTCTACCTCTGATTGTTGGGGGTCTGTAACTCAGTTTTGGACAATTTCTCCTAATATGTCCAGTCTCTCCACATCCATAACATTCTTTGGATTCAAGCATAGGTCTCTGTGAGAACGACGGAGTCTGGGGGTAACCTCCAAACTAACAGAAATGTTGACCGGTCTGCGGTGGACCCCCAGCTACAGCCTGTAGTGAAGACTGAATAGGTCGGGCTGGATAACCTCCTGAACTCTTTCCTCTAGAGTAAGAACCATTAAACTCACCTCCTTTATGAAACTTCTTAAATGTCGATGCCATGGTGCAGTCGTCTGGCTTCACTCCCTCCACTTCTATCACGAAATCTACCACCTCCTGAAAGGATTTTGCTGCAGCAACCACCTGTAAGGCTAAAATCCGCAAATCTGATCTCAACCCTTTCACGAAACGGTGAATCCGCACTTGTGGACTGAAGTAAAGCTGGGTGGCATACCTGGATAGTGCACGAAACTTAGCCTCATAAGCAGTAACCCACATCCTGCCTTGCTCAAGGCTCAGGAACTCATCTCTCCTCCTACCCTCAAAGTACGGGGTATATACTTCTCCATAAACAAGCTAGAGAATTATGCCC